GACAAGTGCCTCACACACTAAACTATCTTTGTAGCCTTGATTTTTTAATTTACTATAGCCAAGTATTATCCTAAGCATAGTTTATGTCTAGTTCTCGCTCTCAGAGAACCTGGCAGGCTACCGAGAGTATCCTGCCTGCACGGCAGAGTCTGGAAAGCTTCCCATGGCGTATTCAATATGTCAAATCCCAGTAACAATGATGGTCCTCATTCCCCCGACTCTGAAAGAGCCTCCAATGTGGCACTTGCTAAAATCTCAGGGCTAAAACGAATGGAAACAGTACTGGTGCCTGCTCGAGGAAATTGATGGACAATGGGATGACAGTGATACAGTATATGGATGTATGCCATAGCTTTTTTATTTAATCAATCATCTGTATATGGAGACTTGAGTTGTTTATATTTTAGCTGTTGTGGATAATGCAGCAGTGAACATAGGAATGCAAATCTTTTTTCTAAATAGAGTATGGGGGACCTTGGGAGAGATACTAAGAAACAATTACTAGGTTATATGGAAGTTCCATTCTTAGTCTTGAGGTGTCCATATTTTGCAGTTATTTATATTGATTTACAGACTTTCATGACCAAAGTGTACATATAAAGTATGTCATTACTTTGTGATTCATACATATAATCTTTTCACAATTATCCTATTTGACATATAGAATTTACCTATTTGAATAGGCATATCCCTCAATATTTTTTATTTAAATGTATTATCTATTCTTCATTTAAAATAATTACAATATCCTCTATTAAATCCTCAACTTCTCTGAATTGTTATATCATATTTCCATGTTTGAAGTGCTGACAATTGATTATTTGATTATTTGATCATGTAAAACCTAAACATGTATATCTGCAGAATCAATCTGCTATAAAAATCTAACATAGCACAATGATAAGCATATAATGAATAATTTAAAAAATTTATCATCACAATTCTTCACAAAATGTAGTTTTTGTAGCAGTAAAAGCAGAAGGCCAGGGATATGCTTAGTGGCAGAGTACCTGCCTTGTATTGTGAGACCTAGAGTTGGACCTCTCCTGCAAAATAATTTAAAAATAAGTAAAAATAAAAATGACCCAAAACCGATTTCTAAGTAAGAATCTCTCCATATTTTGCTGAGATGAATTAAAATTAGTGCTTCTAAGTTAGTTAATAAAAGTACATATAAAGTTGTGTTGGATTTCATTGGATTCTATGTTTGTTTGGGAACCTCAAGTATTTGTTTGATAATCTTTTTCCAGGTATCTAGAAAGAAACTAAAATTCAAAGTGTTAATACATGTACAAATAGGCTGTTTGTCTTTTTATCCAGTAGGACGTATATTTTTTTATTTATTAATAAATGGGCTGGAGCAATAGCGCAGCGGGTAGGGCGTTTGCCTTGCACAGCCGACCCGAGTTCGATTCCTCCACCCCTCTCGGAGAGCCCGGCAAGCTACCGAGAGTATCTTGCCCGCAGGGCAAAGCCTGGCAAGCTACCCATGACGTATTCGATATGCCAAACACAGTAACAAGAAGTCTCAAAATGAAGATGCTACTGGGCCCGCTTGAGCAAATTGATGAACAACGGGAGGACAGTGACAGTATTTATAAATATATGGATACAAGGTAGGGCTAACCCATTGAGACCCATTTATAGGATTAAAATGCTGATTTAGTTTTTTTCCCTGTCAGTAGGGGTTAGGGCAGAGAGTAAGTAGGTAAAATTAAAAGGGAAGGGAGGAGAAATTCAGTACTTCTTAAGATTGCATAGACTGAATACATTGCTCTTTGAATTAAATTGTTGGCTTATTTGTAACTCCTGCCAAAATGGGCAATAGCTGACAAATTAGCTAACTTTCAGGGAAAGTTAAAAAAGCTGCTTCTCAAAGTTATCTTTCTTCATGCCTCATAGAATTACCCTACCGTTAATAGCTAGACAGGTAGCAAAGTAAATTAAATCAAGTTAATTATTTCTCATACTATTTCAACAAAACTGTGAAATTTGTGTGTGTAAAAAAAATAAAATATAAAAAAACCCCAGAATCTTGAAACTTAAAAAATGAAGTTATAAGTTAAAATTAAAATTAAAATAACAGTAAAGTTTGTTTGTGGGTTTAGCAAAAATATTTGCCCCAGGCTAAACTTAAAGTTAGAGACTTTATCTTTCATTATCTCTGTTTCCAGTTTACTTTCCCTGAGAATACTCATTTTTCTCACCCTCCTTCCCCTAGGCTGCCTACTTTCTAGTGCAGGCAATTTTGAGCAGAGCTATTTTTTTTGCTAGATAATTGAGGAATTACCTTTCCTTTATACTGTTTTCAATTAATGCAGTATGAAAGAAGGAAGGCAGTTCATAAATAAATCCTTGGAAACATCTTACCAATTCAGGGAGCTAGTGAGAGGTTACTAGAAATGAATAACTTGAACAGATTTACAGACACAGCTATCCACTGAAAAACCACATCAGCCCTTGGGGTATTTATGTTTTACATAAATTAAGGAAAAGATTAAGCAATTAGTCAACATGATATTATATAGTTCAAATTACATTCTTATCTATTTAGTCATTTATACCTCTTATAATATTTAATTCCAGGAACTGTCCTGCTAGTTAGGCCATTTTTTATTTTTGATATGTTTCTCCTAATAACAGTAGTAACTGTCATTTCAGTTTCTTAGTGGTGAGGATTCCATGATCTTTCAAACAGGAGAAATGTGGCTTTTCCTACACTTTACCAGTAGTTTTGATCTTCTTTAGTAAATACTTGCAAGTCTCCAGGATAGAGTCAATTTAGAATAGAGGTGCTCTCTTACTCAGTGTTTTTTCAGGGGTCTCTGTTTCAGAAATCATGAAGACATGGTTAAGATATTGCTTTCAATAATTATGTAAATATATAGTATTGCCTAATAAAATAAATATAAAATAATGTATAATTATACAGACCAGCACTCTAAAAAATAGTCATGTTTACAATCATCTGAGAAATAAAAAAATCATGGTTCAAGTAATAATCAAAATGCAAAAGACATGGTTTTTTGGCTTAAGCATATGCTAAACAAGCAGAAAGGTGAAAATCTCTTAAAAATCTGACAGTATAAGAAAACATGTTCAGGGGCTGGAGTGATAGCACAATGGATAGGGCATTTGTTTTGCACACAGCCGACCTGGGTTCAATTCCCAGCATCCAATCTGGTCCTCTGAGCACCGCCAGGAGTAATTCCTGAATGCAGAGCCAGGAGTAACCCTTGTGCATTGCCAGGTCTGACCCAAAATAAAAAAAAGAAAAAGAAAAAAAAAGAAAACATGTCCATGGGGGTAAAAGGGGGACTTGGAATAAGAAGTAAAAGTAAAGGCCCTCCCGTTGATCATCGATTTGCTCGAGCAGGCACAGTAACGTCTCCATTGGAGACTTTGTTGTTACTGTGTTTGGCATATCGAATACTCTCGGTAGCTTGCCAAGCTCTCCGAGAGGGGTGGAGGAATCGAACTCGGGTCGGTCATGTTGGCCGCTTGTAAGGCGAACGCCCTACCACTGTGCTATCACTCCAGGAATAAGAAGAAAGTAAGATGATTCTTAATTTTTTGTTAATAATTGAAAATATTTAGAAATAAAGTAGTAGGATATTCTAAATAATAAGAATTGGATGTATACAAAAATGATAATCTGTTTTCAGTATAGCTCAAGTAGTCAGTATTGTAAACATTTCCTACATGGCTGTGTGGCTATATCAGAACATGATAGATTTTGTTTTGTAGGTAATTCTTGAAGATAATATTGGTTTATAATTTTTTTTTGCTTTTTGGGTAACACACAGCAATGCACATGGGTTACCTCCTGGATTTGCACTCAGGAACTGAAAGATAATATTGAACCCTTTTTTAATACTTAGTTTATGTTCTCAGAGAGGAAAAAAATATTCTCCTTTCTCTCTGAGTACTTCTCTGTCTGGCCAAGCAATTAAGTTAATATCAGACATATTATTAAAGATGACAAAGAAATAAATTTCATTTATAAATTGAATTTCCACAAATGTGGATTCCAAAACCAATGATGCAAATTGAGTACATGTATCCTGAACTAACTAGTGGGATTATGACTGGAACGTCAAGGAGAGAGGAGAGAGTGACTCACATCACAAGATCTCATGGTCTAGTTAAATATTTTTCCTGCTATATAGAAAGGTTTCTTTACTAGAAGCTTGATTGCTAGTTAAAAACCCAAGTTCTAGGTTCTACCTTCCATTCTCATTCTTTTAGATAGTTAAGAGAGTGATACGGTTTCCTGTGAATCTGCTGGGATACAATTGACCTCAGTTGGAAATAGTGCTCACACAGCATCTTGGGAAGCTTGCTCTAAACACCTTGAATAAGGCAAAAACAATAGTGTAGCTGATAGGATATTTTCCTTGAATACAGCTAGCCCCTGTTCAATCCCTGGCACCCCATATGGCACAAAAATCAAGAGAAAAAAAATAAACATTAAAGCTCAGCTTTAGTATCCATTATTTGGCACCACTATAGAAGTGTGTGTTTCAGCATTTTGATTAATTCAAAACTTTAAAAGTTTAAAAAAATTCTCTATCTAGTTTCTATATTTGTTTTGACCTTGTGATAAGGCTGGTGTTTTAAATAAAAACATTATTTCCTTTCAGTTTTGCTTTTAATTTTTGATTACTTAATATTTAGAAGTAGGAGAAAGAGAGAGAGAGAGAGAGAGAAAGAGAGAGAGAGAGAGAGAGAGAGAGAGAGAGAGAGAGAGAGAGAAAGTGCCTGCCATATAGATAGAGGATAGAGACAGGTGTAGAGAAAGTGAGAGTGGAGGGAGTTATTTGGGGTTATTGGTGGTGGGAAATGTACACTGGTGGAGGGATGGGTGTTGGAACATAGTATGATGGAAACCTTATCATGAACAGCCTTGTAACTGTGTATCCCATGGTGATTAAGTTTAAAAAAGTGTTATTATAAAAGTTTAACTGTATGCTATTGCTTTCATTTGTTATGTCCAATAGACAGAATGTGCAAATTTCATCCGAGTCCTTCAACCCTATAATAAAACTCATATTTATGTGTGTGGAACTGGAGCATTTCATCCGATATGTGGCTATATCGATCTCGGAGTCCACAAAGAGGTAATATAATGAAACAGAATGGAAAGATATGTCATTATAATACTTTGTTACTTAATGCTTATGACATAACATAGACAAATTTGAAAACAAAGACTTTTTTAGAAAGCAGGATTTTCATGTATTTCGACTGCAGAACCTTTTATATGAACCAATATGGTTCAGCTAACATTTTTTAAAGTTGAGAGAAAGCCAGCACAAAAAGCTACTACAAGTTTTTGCTGCCCTTCACCAACCATTGTGAAGCCCACAAAAGTAATGTGAATATTTATTTAATAAGAACCTTGTTTCACAGCTACTGAAATATCAAATGGAAAAGATGAGCCTTAAATTCACCTAAGGAGTTTTGCTGTAAAGAAAGAGACAAATGAGCCCTAGCTAAATTAAAAAAATATATATATATACACACACACACACATATATATATACATATATATGTACATATATCTTGGGAACAACAAAGTTTAAAATGGTAAGAATTGCATGCTTGTATTCTAATGAAATCAATAGAATGGCATCATTGAGTGATATAACAGAACTTGGTGGATTCTGCTATGATAGTCTGTGAGTGTATAACCTCTGAGTGGGAACCAAAGCATGAAGGCATATAAGCATATGTATTGATGCCAAGTACTGAGTCTGGCTACATTTTTATAGTTAGGAAAGTTTAAAACACAATTACCAGAAGGATAGCCATAGATTATTAATATTCTGTTGCAATTATTAATATTACTATTTGCAATGTTTAAAATGGCATGGCCTGGTGTCTGATAATGCTTTAAAATATTGTGAAGATCAAATATATGGCTTTGATGGTAGAGTACATGTCTAGCGTGTTTGAAACCCAGATATCAATCCTTCACATCATATGCCACCTCCCCCAACACTACCAGGTGAGCACTTCTAGCCCAGAGTACTGCTGTGTTTAACTTCTTGGAAAAATAAGAAGAGATTAACTACCTCCATATTTTTCAAGTAGCTCTTTTAAATGTTAATGCAATGTACTGCACCTTACATCATGAAATGTATTAATTACGTCTGAGAGATAAAAATAAGATTAAATCATACAGTTCGATATGCCAGACACAGTAACAACAAAAGTCTCCAATGGAGACGTTACTGGGCCCGCTCGAGCAAATCGATGATCAACGGGAGGGCCTTTACTTACTTACTTTACTTACATACAGTTTCTTAATTGTTTGTTGAGTAACCAAAAATATTAAAGTATTGAAAGCATTTGTTTTTATTTTTTGGAACCTCCTGGGCAGTGTTCAGGAATTCGGGGTCTCTACCTGCAATTCTTGCTGAAATGGGCTTGTGATTCCTTGCACTTAAAAATACTATGCTTCTTAGACCCTGTGGTGACAGGGATAACAGTGGTGTCAGTGACCTCCAGGTCGGCATCTGAAAATTCTTAGGGGACCACGCAGTGCTAAAAATTCAAGCCAGGTTGTTAAGAATTCACCAAACCCAGGTTGTAACTTTTGCTATGCATGCATAATCCTTGTATTATCTTCCATCCCCTGAAATACTTGATTTTTAGTGAATTTATGTAAGTTATTTTATTATGGGTGGTATTTTAACTAGATCTATATACTATGTTGCTTACATATTTCCTTACAGTAGATTTGGTAGCTTTTAAATATTATTTCATTTTCCCTATCCAACAAAATCAACCTTTCACATATATTTAGAGTAGAACACACTACACACATAAAACCTAATTTTTTTCTCAAGTTGTACAGATAGTAATTAGCTTACTGAATTTATTATTTCTGCATTACTAAACTGACATGAAAAAAATAAAGGTGTCTTAATTAGGAGTAATTAATCCCAGCTAACAAAGAACAATTTAATAAATGAGATCATGCAGATTTTGCTAATATATTGAGTAATTAATATATTTAAGTGTTTTGTTTATGTCATGCACAATGCCAACCAATTTATTCAGATTGTTTCACAAAACTTCTGGTAAAGTTAATACCTTCATAATTTCTATTTTGCAAATTAGTAAAATTGAAGTCAGTGGAATTAAAAAACTTGCCTGAGGTCATCTAATGAGCAGTCTAGCAAATAACTGTACCAAAGCAGCCTGTCTCTAGAGCAAGCATGTCCAACTGAGCATTAGAATATTTCTCTAAATTGTTTCTTCGTGTGGGTTGATGGGTTACTATGCCATACACCTTTTTACATGTGTTTTTTTTCCTTGTGATTAACCACATATATTTACAGGATAATTGAATGTGCATTTGAAAGCAAAGTTTAGGATTATGGAATAAGTTTTTTACATGGACTTAACTGATTCATGTAGAGATCAATCCCACAAATATGTCTGGATAAATTTTTCTCGCTAACCACCTTGTCTAACCAGACCAAACCCAACTGTTTGAAAGCAAATGTACCTTGGCAGTTTTCTACCGAAAAATCTCCGAACCACTAGGAGACTTGGCACCCATCATTCTTACTAGCAAAAATTTCCCTTCTTCTGTTTGATGAATAGTACTATATAACAGTAGTCCTTCTCATAGGAAGTAATTATATGAGATAACCCCACAACTTAGATGTGTTTTGAGGCCTGAGGCTGCTGAAGGATGCAAATAGTGTTTTTACCTCCTAAAACTCACAAGTGCTGAAAGGGGATTAAGATGGAGCTAATTACTAATTTGGGGACTGTCAAGAAGTCTCGGGGCAAAATTAGCAAGTTCTGTGAGTAAGGCAATTACCGAGTGAACAGAGATACTGAGCTTTGTGAGTTTTCCACCAGTCAAGAAGTATAGTGACTGGGTCAGATAGTAGAGAAGTAAGGTACTTCCTCATACACAGCCAACCTGGGTTCCATCCTTGGCTCCACATCTGGCCTGTAGGTCCCCTCAGTCCCACCAGCTAATCTCAGATCCAAGTGTAAGACTGAGCACAGCCATGTGTGCCTCCCTCCTTGAAAAAAAAAAGTGTAGAAAATTTTATGGAAGATGGTCATTAACTTTTCGAACAAATTATTAGCCCTGTGATGCCATTGCCCTTACAAATGGAACTTAACAAAGCCCTTCTAATTTTAGATACATTCATTCAAAGGTGACAGGAAAGAAGAATCAGGAGTAAATAAAATGAATAGAAGATAAGCATAGGAGGTTCTTTTTGTGGGGACTACCGTTTCGTTTAACTTGGGCAGTAGACTGTAGAAGTAAAAGCTCAAGTGAATCACACATTTCTGTATTTGGCAGTGAATTGAAGAGTGGTGCTATTTATTGAGGTGAAAATAGTGACAAGCTTCTGGGGAGGAATACTGAATTCATTTCATACATTCTGATTTTGAGAAATTCCCAGTGAGTTGTGCCAAGTGGCCAGTTGAATCTGGATTTCAGGGTCGAAGTGAGAACTGTTGTCAGCACCAAATAGAGTGAGTCCAGAGGGGCACAGTGTGAATTGTAGCTTCAGTCATTTACTGGCTCCCTGGTGTTATACGTACTGTGAAAATGTTCTAAGCTTATATTTATTCAGTAAAATGATGATGATAATAGTAGTAACTATTCCACAAAATTGTTTTGAGGATAAAATGAGAAATGATTATATAGAATTTGGCACACCACTTGCTTTCATCCAGTCCTGATATTAGAAAATGAAGATAAAGAGATGTGAATTCTAAAGGGAGGTATATATACGTTGAATGAAAATAATGTCTCTCTTGTGTCTTACACATAAAATGCTGGGAGTTTGCAATATTAGTTTAATAATCAGAAGTATTTTCTTTCCTCTGGGTTTCCCTTCTATGGCAACAACTAAGATGTTAATAATAACTTTGAAAGTTCTTATTTAATGTTTCCTGTTATTTTCACTATGTTAGCTCTGTACCTCAACAGTACTTCTCTGTATTCACTGTAGGTAAATGCTCTTCATTTGGCAAATTAGGCTTATGGAATTTAATATAAAATCATAAAATTCATTTTCAGTGTTAAGGGCCATGTAATTTAATTAATTTCCAGAAGTTCATTTTATCATCCATTATTTTACACATCAAATTTCTGTTGATGTATAACTGTGGCTTATAAAAGCATGCATTCTCATCACCTCCCTTCACCAGGAGGTTATAAAGAAGACCTTATATTAGACCTCCATAAATATAAAATTTATGAGTTTATCTTGAGAATTTAATAAAGTATTGCATTTTGTAAAGAAAAATTATTAGTTATACAAGTTTAATGCATCAACTATAGTATTTCTCCATATATTTTTGTCTTTTTAAGAGAATTGTACTATAAAAATTTCTGTCCTTCAGGATTCTGTTTACTCATTCCCTTACAATCTTCTATTATAAGCAAGCTGGTTGATTTGACTGTAGAGAATAATGTGCTTTTGATAATATTTAAGCATTCTTAAGAGGCACTCTCTCCAAGTGAAATTTTTCCTGGGTATACCACTATTTCCACTCACAGTTGGTTAGCATTTCCTAAATATCTTCTCATTAGAGTCTTTATCCCTACATTCCACTCTCACAACCAGAGAATAACCAATCTTTTCATAAAGCATTACTTCTTGTTACATGGACACACCCTGTCTATATGATTTTCAAAATAATTTTATATTCTGAGACTAGATACAAACATTAAATTTAACAGTAACTCTGAGTTGAAGCTGCAGCTTTGCTCTTCCTAGCTACATGATGCTGAACAGAATATTTAACTCTGGTTTATCTCAGTGTTGGTTTTCAAAACCTAGTATTATGAAAGTACCAACTTCCTTAGGCTGATTGTGAAGGACTTAGTGAACCATGTAGAAAAAAAGTTCCTGGCCCATGTTTTGTACCTGGCAACTATTATAAACTGTTACTATTTTAAAGTGCATTTATTTAAAACTATGGAATAATATTTCTAGCTATATAAATTGCTACTAGTACTATCAGTCTTGTTCAGAAGAAAAATATATGAAATGACAACAGAATACGACAAATAATCTAGTTCCATTGACATTTTGCTTCATACTTTTTTCTAGGTAGGTAAAACTGATTGTTCTTTTTTTATTACCTGTGAGCTCTGGAATAACTTTGTCGGTACATCGTCTAGAAAGAATGTATGAAGTGCCGATTTGTCTAACTAGTTTCTATAGAAGATCGACCATCAGCCTTTGTGCTGGATGGTAGTATTGTCATTATCCTAAAATATTCAAAACTCATGAGGCCCCATCCATTTTACATGTATATTTTTCTTGGAAAGTTTGGCTTTAGATGTTATTTTTTTCCTTAACACTAAAAGTTTGCCAGTGTCAGTCTGTCTGTGGTCACTATTGTAAAAATAGATATTTCAGCCAAAATAACTGTGTGGTTTTTATGTGTACAGAGTTTTCATAATGATGGAAATACTACAACAGGATTTTTTTTGCCCACATGTATCAACAATTTTACAAAGAACTTCCTGTCTTAAAACAATTTTATAGCACTAACATGACAAAACATCACAAAGTTTGAGTAACTTCTTGGACATAGTTGCACTTACTTCATTATCAAGAAAATGTAGTTATTATAATACATTTATTTCTTAGATAGGAAAGTTGGTATTAGGCTTAATAAATAAGTGCTGGAAAATGATTTTGGTAATGATAAAAATGCAAGCAAAATGAATTGTTAGATACGTTACTGAGTCCAACTGAAATTATTTCATTTTGGATTGTCATTACTGATTTGGGAAAATGAAGCCTAAAATGTAGGGATTGACTCTTGGCCAGAAATAATATTTACTAAAGAATTTAGAAGCCCAGCATGTTGCACATGCTATATGCTTGATCAGTTTTTATTGAATTAATGAGTTAGAATTAATTTCTTATCTCCTGTGTTCTTGCTGATTCTGAGACTTCTGCAAATTTTGGTTATGTTATTGTTTTTAATAACAGGAAGCTATGTTCAAATTAGACACACATAACTTGGAGTCTGGAAGACTGAAATGTCCTTTTGATCCTCAGCAGCCTTTTGCTTCAGTAATGACAGGTAAGATCAATGACAGTCAGTTCTAGATTTGGGGTGACTTGCAGAATGCTATAAGTAGATTGAGCCACATTGTCTCATTGAGTTAAATATAATTTAAAATTAGTTGTTCATTGGTTATTTGATGATAGTATTTTAGTTCTAAATATTTCTCTTCTTGTCACTAAAGTGAGTGACAAGCAATGTGTACATAATAACTCTTTAAATAGATCATTGATTGTATGACCTACCTGGCTTCGATCCCCAGCATCTCATATGGTCTCTCAGCACCACTAGGAGTAATTCCTGAGTGAAGAGTCAAAAGTAACTCCTGTGCATCACCGGGTGTGACCCAAAAAGCCAAAAATTGGGCAGAGCAAAAGCACAGTGGGTAGGGCGTTTGCCTTGCACATGGCCGACCAGGGTTCGATTCCTCCCTCCCTTTTGAAGAGCCGGCAAGCTACTGAGAATATCCCGCCCACACGGTAGAGCCTGGAAAGCTCCCCGTGACATATTCAGTATGCCAAAAACAGTAACAACAAGTCTCACATGGAGACGTGACTAGTGCCTGCTCGAGCAAATCAGTGAACAACAAGAGGATAAAAATCCAAAAATCTTTAAAAATTAAATAATTAAATTATTGCTTGAATTCTTCTAAATGTAAATGACATATGCACACTTGTCCTATAATTTTATACTTAGATGTCTCAGGTTTTCTGATATAAGCTATACCTTTGTTTTGCTCAAAATAGTTTGCTTTAGCAATTCTATAAATATGTTACAAAGTATGTCGAAGACCTGATTAGAAGGATTAATGACACATAAATGGATAAAATATTAAAATTTTCAAGCCACAGACTACAGCTAACAGAATATTGGAAACCCCCCCCCCCCAACCAAGATCTCATCATTACCTGAATCTATTAATTAAAATTTATTTTTTTTTGCTAACACTTCAATCTTTTCTTGTATTGTATATCTCTGAAGTTCTTTGAAGAGATGACTATCCTATTTAAAGAGTCAGTACTGTGTGGTCTGAAGTCTGCTCTCAGGAATGCCTGCCCAATCTCTTGAGTTTTAACCATTTTAAGAACTTCTTTTGTCTTGATGTAGTTCATGACTTCAGTCTCTTTTCATTTAACTTCTCTATCATATGTTTGAATAAGAGTGAAGCACCAAGACATTTTGATTTTCATTTAGTGAGAACTAACAATCTTTCTTTGAAGTTAAGTGTGTGTGTTTGTGCATTTTGAAAATTATATGACTAATGTTCAGTTATTATCCTCAAAGAATGAGAAAAACTATTTGTAATTCTAATCTGTCAAGTGATTTTGAAACAATTAAAAAACCATACATTGTAGACATTGATGACCCCTTTTAGGAACTCAGATGCAATTTTAAATTCAACAAAGACTGTATTAAAATCTGGTTATACAGATTTAGTTTTTTAGTTGATAAATCACTTTTTTAAAAACTGTTGGAACTATCAGGCTTTGTATGTTTCAAAATAAAACTATTACATACGCTTACTAATTTTTTATAATATATTGATATTGTTATCTTCATTCTGTTTTATTTATTTGTTCCACAGTGATTCCTTTTAACATATTTTAGGGAAGTGTCTTAATAGATGGAAGCAGTATCCTGTCTATATTTCCTTTAACATTACTTGATTTTTTCCTTCTTTTAATTATTTAGAATTTGACTATTAGCATTATTTAGATTGGTTGTCTCAATTTGTTCAGAAAAGTCTTATTTTGATTTTCATAATAAAGATACTTAGAAAGTAACTGAGTCACTTATAAAGGACAGAATTTTAAGTATATAGAAAAGCTGTATTTCACTAATATCATTAGTTCTTATATTTATGCATTTATAAGATGCTAAGTGCTACATAGTGTACTACATCATTTAGTCTTTTTTTTAAATTTTTTAAAATTTTTTTTTATTATTAGTGAAACAACACGAGGTACAGTTATAGACTTGCAAAGTTTTGCGCTTGGGTTTCAGTTATACAATGATCAAGTACCCATCCCTCCACCAGTGCCCATCCTCCACCACCAAAGGTCCCAGCATACCTCCCAACCCCCATCCCCCCATCCCACCCTGCCTCTGTAGCTGTGCATTCCCTTTTGTTCTCTCTCTCTCTCTCTCTCTCTCTCTCTCTCTCTCTCTCTCTCTCTCTCTCTCTTTCTCTCTCCTTTTGGATTCCGTGGTTTGCAAGAGAGGCATTGAGTGGCAATCATGTTTGGTCTATAGTCTACTTTCAGCATGCTTCTCCCATCCTGGGAGGATCCTCCCAACACCCTTTATTTGGTGCTCCCTTCTCTATCTGAGCTTCCCTTTCCCCCAGCACGTGTGGCTGGAATTTTGCTCCATGACTTGGAGGTCAGCCATAGTCTTTTTTTTTCAAGTTGCTATCCTGTATATAATCTAAAGCAGTTGATTTTTAAAAATGGTAGGGACTAGCTATTACAGAGGTAAAATATACTACTTTAGAGACTGTATTCTCCCTGTCAGCAACCCCATCACCACACCAATATGCTGACTAGCACTGGGCAAGATTCATCCCTGCTCCCCTCCTTTAATGTATATATACTTCACTTTCACTATTCTCTCTTTTCCTCCTCTCTTTACAGTTAGTTATCACCCTTTTTCTTCTCCTCTCCTTCATCCTTCTCCACTCATTTCCCTCTTCTCTTCCTTCCCTTCCTCTGTCTTCCTATCCCCCACTCTTCTCATAACTGTCTTTTTCCCCAATAACATGGCCTTGACTTAAATAACAGAACAAAGACATTTGGTATGCAGTAATGGCAACATTTTCCTCTTTTCAGGAATTCAGTATTTATCAGAAGTAATAGAAACATGATTAGCTACAAGAAATGCAACATGCTATAATTCCAGAGTGACTTAAGTGCTGAAAGTTCCCTTTTAGCAGATGTTTCACAAAGAATAGTTGTGGCCATTGAGGTTGGTTCAGTTAAATAGGTACTAATCATACAACCCACTTCTCATTATAGTCCTTACTTTTAAGTATTTTTTGTGTGTTGCTAGAAAGAGAAATTCTTAGCTATTTCTTAGAATTATATACTTTACAATATGTGGAGAGGAGGCAAAATAGAGCAAGAAGAGTTTAGTCATTAAATAAGCTAATGTAATTTCTAATTTTGTTATTATTAATGAATCAATTATTAATATACCTTCTTATGTATGATTAGCATTATTCAGCAAAGATCATTGAGCTAATTTTTCTTCAATGGTGCATATTTTAGAATATATATGCAAAGTATATGAAATAATAAATCCTGGTATTGAACATTAAAGTTTTGTTTTGATATTATGAAAATTAGTATATCATAAATAATATCTGTGAGTGTGTTACTGAAATTCCTGTGTCTTCTTTTTTTTTTCCTCCCAGATGAGTATCTCTACTCTGGAACAGCTTCTGATTTCCTTGGCAAAGATACTGCATTCACTCGGTCCCTTGGGTCTACTCATGACCACCATTACATCAGAACTGACATTTCAGAGCACTACTGGCTCAATGGTTAGTGGTTTTCCTCGCCTGTGATTGTTTTGCTTAAGGAAAGATAAGAAACTCATTATTATCCATTCAAATGTGTTTAGGGATAGGTCATTTAGTCCAACATTTCAAAACACATTTGAAATAATTGCTCATTAAGTTAGGCAAATCTCCAGAACTTGTTTGTACAGCAATAACAGCAATATGGTTACTTTTTTGTGTGTGTTGTGTGATGTTGTTCACATTACTGTTCTAGACGAAACTTATGTTCTAAAATACGAGCAATACACAAGTATAAAGTACTGCTGCTTGCTTTTTAAGATTCAGCAAACTAAGGTAAAAATGAAGTCGGTCAAGTTCTTACATTGAAAACATTGCAGAACTGGGGTTCAGTGACTAAGAATGTGTTTCACTAAGTCAAATATATTAAAATTACAAATAGGTAGATTTTAATATTATCTATTTTTATTTAAAGATGGTTTCTGTTTGGGTTAATAAATACCTATAATATTTTAAGCATATTAATATTTTGCCTATTTACCTTTTTTAATTTATGGTTTTTGTTTTTGTTTTGTTTGCCACAACCAGCAGTATTCAGAGCTTACTGCTGACTCCTTTGCTCAGGAATCATTTTTGGCAGGGTTCAGGGGACAATTTGCTGTGCCAGGAATATGATACAAGTTGGTGGCATGAAAGGCAAGAATTTTACTTTTTGTACTATCTCTCTGGCCCTCGTTTACCATTTTTTAAATTTTAAGAATTATATACGATTCCTTAGTTTTAAAAAGTGTTTTACATTGGTTTATTTAAAGTAACACTGCAAAACTTTCTTTAACAAACACTGCTTTATAATATTATAAGACCTTTTATGTTAATTTCTATCCTGACACATTATTCCAATACGTTAACAGAATTATGTAATACCACTATTTTTTAGCAAACTGTTGGCATTTCTTATTCACACTGAGTATTGAACCTTAGTAAATGTTGCTTGGCAGAGATTTTTTTGGTGTTAACTTTTTTTTGCTTGTGATTTGTATGTATCAAGATAAATAAGATAAATATATGGCTTTAACATGACATATATATTTGATTATATCCTCAATCTTAAAATGGCAAGTATGATACTTCCACTTTCTCCTCCTCCTCCTCTTCTTTTCTTCTTCTTCTTCTTCTTCTTCTTCTTCTTCTTCTTCTTCTTCTTCTTCTTCTTCTTCTTCCTCTTCCTCTTCCTCTTCTTCCTCTTCCTCTTCCTCTTCCTCTTCCTCTTCCTCTTCCTCTTCTTCCTTCTTCTTTCTTCTTCCTTCTTCTTCTTTCATGGGGAGATATAGTTACAGACTTACAAATCTTCATGGTTAGTTTCAGTCATAAAATGATTGAGTACCCATTTCTCCACCAGTGCTCATTTTCCACCACCAATGTTCCCAGATTCTCTCTTGCCATGCCCCCATCCCCAACCCCCCTGCCCCACCCCCGCCTCTGTGGCAGACACATTCCCTTTTACTCTCTATCTCCTTTTAGGTGTTAGGGTTTGCAATACGGGTACTAAGCAGCCAACTAAGTTCAATCCATAGTCTACTTTCAGCACACATCCACTTTAAAGAAAATATTTTTTTCTTCCTCTTAACTGTGATATGATCAATTCCAGCAATGTGAAACAACAGATGCAAGGAATATTTGTTTTGACATTATCTGAATAAGCACCTTTTCTTAGAACTATGTGAGGAAAGTACAAAGTAGGAAAGCTTTGAATTAGTTTAAATATTTTTAATCAATAAACGAAGTTATGACATATGGAATATTATTCTCTCAGTATGTCTAAAAATTATATGTGAGGTTCACTCACCTTTGGGATGGCAAATGCCTGAAGCATACGAGGACAGTGAGAGATAGAGCTGGAATACTATATACTTCATAATTAAGGCAACAGAAACTTTGGTTTTGATTAATAGAGTAATCAGTTATTTATTTTTCATAAAACAAACTATTTAATGAAAATAGGAAAGTGATAAAACAGAAGCAATAGTTTAGCAGTGAAGGCAAACATGAGAATATATTGCAATGCATATTTAGAATAGAAAATATTTGAGAATAAAAGAATACAGGGAGATGAAGAAGAAATAAAAAAGATCCTGTATGCTGGGAAAATGTTAAAATTATCGCAGTTCTAAAAGGAGTTCTCAATTGAAACTTGAAAATTTTCAGAATATAGAATCTGAGAATTAAAAAGATGAAGACAAGAATTAGAAGTAACATTTTGGTTCTAGGACAGTTTTCTTAGTGGTTAATAATAGCAATCTTTATAGCATAGTTTCCCCTGGATATTTCCAATTGTACTATGGTTCTTTAACTGTGGAAAATGTCTCAGTTTAAAACAAAATTATTGTTTAATTTCTGTGGATTTTACTTAGAATTAGAGCTCTACTATCATATTTTGTGACCTCACACAACTTTTCTAAGCAAATTCTTAATCTAAATCGTTGTCATAATAATAATAGTATCTGTTCTATGATATCACATCCTTAAATTGGAATTATATGGAACTCAGAGGAAAGATAATTAAAGAACAATCTAATACCAGTATTAATACTGTCACTATTATTTCTGAAGATACAGGTGAAGACTCAGCCCTGATTATTCTGTCATTTTCTGACATTTATATGGCATTTGGAATTACTAACCACATTTGTATTCAATCAGTCTATATTCTAGGACTCAACATTTTTATTTTAAATGCTTTTAATCACTTAATCACTTAACTTCCCGTTAGTCATCGATTTGCTCGTGCGGGCGCCAGTAACGTATCCATTTGTCCCTGTCGCGAGCTAGTGTAGCCCAATGGCATCTGTTCGCTCTGGGAACATGAAGAGCCTCAAACCGATCGTTCATGATCTTCACGAAGAAGTCTGACCATCTGGTAGGCGGGCGGCCACGCGGTCTTTTGACATCCCGTGGAATCCAGTCAGTAACAGCTCTAGTCCAGCGGTCGTCTTTAAATCTCATTACGTGACCAGCCCATCTGATTTTTGACACCTTGGCAAATGAGACAGCATTCCTGATTCTTGATCGTCGACGGATGTCGGAACTCCGAATTTTTTCTCTCATTTGAGTGAAACGTGGTATTCCAAGCATGGCTCTTTCTATTCTTCTTTGGGAGACCTGAATAGCGTTCTCATCCTGTTTGCGAAGGGCCCAGGTCTCTGAGGCATATGTTAATGCAGGAAGAACAGTGGAATCAAAGAGATGTGCCTGGAGCCGGAGGTTCTTCGTCCTCTTAGCTATTTCTTCAACATTCTTGAAGGTGTTCCAAGCCGCTCCCTTCCTCCTGTGCAGCTCGGGTGCCAGGTCATTTGTCATGTTGACTTCTCGACCTAGGTACACATAGCTGTTGCATTTGGAGATGGTTGTTCTGTTGAGAACGAATGGGGTATCAGGAACGAGGCTGTTTCTCATAAACATTGTCTTCGTAAGATTCAGCTGTAGTCCTACCTTTCCACACTCATGGTCAAAATCGGCCAGCATTTGTGCCACTTGGCTGATGTTTGGTGTTATTAAAACAATGTCATCAGCAAAGCGGAGGTGGTGTAATTGCCGACCATATATCTTCACTCCCATTCCTTCCCATTCCAGTTGTCGCATAATGTTCTCGAGGGTGGCACTGAAGAGTTTCGGTGAAATGGTATCACCCTGCCGAACCCCTCTCTTGACATCAACGATCACTTAAATGCTTTTAATAGAATTATATTATAGCTATATTTCATCTGTGTATGATTAAAAATAAGAATGTAGCATACACTGCATTGAGTTCTACACCCAAAGTCCAGTTCTGTCCATCATACTGGTCACCTTCTTTTCTACTTTTCTGATAATCACTTATTGATCATATAGTACAAATGTACATTTTTTTGAAAATCAATTTTATCAGTTAATTTTCCTAATATACTATGTATGAGTAAAATTACCTGATATTTGTCTTTGTGAGTAATTTATTTTTATTTTTTTTCTCCATGAGATTTTTTTTTATTAGTGAAACACCATGAGGTACAGTTGTAGATTTACAATTTTTTGTGCTTGGGTTTCGATTATACAATGATCAGATACCCATCCCTCCACCAGTGCCCATTTTCCACCACCATGGATAATATCCCCCCCACCCTCATGCCCCCATCCCCCCCCACCTCTGTGGCAGGGCAATCCCCTGTGTTCTCTCTCTCCTTTTGGGTGTTGTGGTCTGCAAAAGAGGCATTGAGTGGCAAACATGTTCAGTCCATAGTCTACTTTCGACATGCATCTCCCCTCCTGGGAGGATCCTCCAAACACCCTTTATTTGGTGCTCCCTTCTCTATCTGAGCTGCCCTTTCCTCTAGAATGCCCGGCTGGCCACTAAGCTATGAAGTAATCCTCCTGGTGCTGATCTAAGCTATTCTTGGGTATTAATCTCATATTTTGTTACTTTATATCACCCAGATGAATGCAGTCTTTCTATGTCTATCCCTCTCTTTCTGACTCATTTCTCTTAGCATGATACTTTCCATGTTGTACCACTTTTATGTATATTTCATGACTTCATCTTTTCTAACAGCTACATAGTAATCCATTGTGTAGATGTACCAAAGATTCTTTAACCAGTCATCTGTTCTTGGGCATTCAGGTTTCTTCCAGTTTCTGGCTATTGTAAAGAGTGCTGCAATGAACAAGCAAGTGCAGATGTCACTTCGACTATACATTTTTGCCTCTCTGGGATATATTCCCAGGAGTGGTATTGCTGGGTCAAACGGGAGCTCAATTTCTAATTTTTTGAGAATCATCCATACTGTTTTCCAGAAGGGCTGAACCAGTCGACATTCCCACCAACAGTGAAGGAGTGTCCCTTTCTCGCCACATCCATGCCAGCCTCAGTTGCTTTTGTTCTGTTGAATGTGGGCCAGTCTCTGAGGTGTGAGATGGCATCTCATTGTGGTTTTGATCTGCATCTCCCTGATCATTAATGATGTAGAGCATTTTCTCATGTGCTTTTTTGCCAT